GTTTCAGATAGGTCTAGATTCGACCAGGTTTTAAACGCAAATTTTTGCAAAAATTAACCATTTTATGATTTAAATTAAAAACTAAAACTCAGCAAGGAAAATTGTGATTTTAAAATGGGATTAACCGAAAACCGTGGTACGGGTCAGGGTTGCGTCGTAATTACGATTACGAATTGGGAATTACGGCGTTTTTTTAGTTACTAATTACCAAAAAAATTTCGATTACGACTCGATACCGGTTAATAACCATTTGTGTTTGGGTACAAACAAATGTACCGTGAGCCTAATGTACCGCAGATGGTTCGATGCAGCTCGACCAGTTGAATCGAACCATACCAGAGGTACATCGGGCTCGCGGTACACTAGCCTGCATTTTTAACCCTAGTTTCAAAATATAAATATAAATAGTTAAACCTTGTTAAATCAAAAATAATATACCCTACTTAAACATTATTTGGATTTCGGTTTGTTTTAAAATTTCCTTAATTTTTGATTCAGATGTAGGCTAGACAACAATTTTGTTTATTAAGGTATTTAATTACTTTTTTTTATAATTTTTCATGTTCACCCCCCCCCCCCCCCCCCTCTAACTAAATCGGTTAAAGTAGCATAGGAAGATGAGCCTATTTTTACTGATCTAACAAGGTTTAACTTTACATATAACAAGATTTTTTAGATAGAATTGTGGATATTTTTTGTTTGTTTGGATTAAAAATAACTTTTAAAAATCAAAATAAATTACTTAAAAATAATCCCCCAAATAATAACCGAATCCATAAAATTGGACAAAAATTGTTTTTGAAAATTCAAGTCTTCTTTTTGCTCCCACCCTTCGACCACATTTTGCTAAACACTAAATTATGTAAATTAATTTTTAAAATCTTAAATAAATTGTTAATTGTTAATTAATGCAAGGGTTCAGCGACATTTTTAAAAATATTGGCCTCGCAAAAAGAAGTATTTTAAGCATTCTAGAAATTTATAAAAAAAGACATACATTTGTCGGTTCCGTGACGATCGTCAGTAAGTTTAGGTGTAAGTTTTATCTCTCCTCGACAGTTTGGGCATGTACCCTTCTCAGTAAGCCTTAAATATTAAATTGTTTAATTTAAATATTAAATTTCCGTTAAAAGAAAATTTAAAAATTTAATTTATACCATTTTGCAAGACATTTATCATGATATATTTGCTTAAAATTATAAATTTTGTTATTTAAAATTTAATAAATTTAATAAACTTTGCATTCAGAGCACTGATAAACATAATCGTTAATTTTTAATTCTTCTTGGCAAATAACACACATTTGTTTAGCTTTATTATCTTTATTTTTATTTTTTTTAGTTTCTTTTGGATTATAATAAAATCCCCCTTCAACTAAACAAAATATATTTATTTTAATTTTTAAAATTCTTACAAATTGGAATATATTTGAAGAATAATTGTTTTGGGTTGAAACTTTTGTACAACTTATAAAACTTTTCAAAATGATCCTCGTTGGAATCGAAACTAAAAATATTGCAAAAAATTATATTATACATATTTTAGCATTTATATTTATTAAAGTCAAAATAAAATTAAACGATAAACCTTTCATCTTCAAATATTTTGATTTGCAAACATTCATTACGTTTCTCGAAATCTTCTTTTTTACTTGGAAATCCTTTCTTAAGAAAGGCTCGTTCCTCTTTTCCGGTTTTTTTCGAATCCCAACGATAAACATAATATTTATCGCCGTATTTAATTCGATTTAAATGATTTATTATTTTATCCTTTGGAATTTCATGTCCCGTTACATATTCTTCTCCGTAATTTTCAAAGAGGAATTCTGCTAAACAATTTGCCTGCTCGCCTAAAAATACTATTTAAATAATTTAATTCCAAACCCGGGCCGAGCCCGGGACAAAACTAGATGAAACATTCTCATGAATGAGGAGCTATTTTTTGGGTTCTCTCATCAAAGCATATCTGCATACAGAAAATGCATTTGATGTTTTGTGAGGCTCTACTTAGTTGTATTTTAGTATATGTCATCCACTCAAAATATACATATACCATTCGACTCGTCTCGCTGAGCTGAGTCAACTATGTAGAAATTTTCAGCCGGAGACGAAAACTCACAGAGATATAGTAGGCTATTGAATTATTCATAATTCGATCAACTTTTATTTTATTCCTTTGTCACAGGAATTTATTTTTTTATTTACATTTTATTCCTTTATAACTAGGGTTGCCAAAATGGACCGACTCGGACCGAAAGATCGAGTCATGCCTCGATGTTTGGCCCGAAAAAGTCTCGTACCGGCCCGACTCGATAAATTTGGGCCCGAAAAAGACTCGTAACGGCCCGACTCGATAAAGTTAGGCCCGAAAAAGACTCGTACCGGCCCGACTCGATAAAAATAGGCCCGAAAAAAATTGTCTCGGAAAAAGTCGGCCCGACTCGAACAAGACTCGATAATATTTTTACCAGATTTGTGGACAAAAATGGGTGAAATCTGGCTCCTTGGCCTTCCAAAATTCGAAAAATTTTCGCCTGCGGCGCTGAAAGTCCACAAGTCTTCCATTTATAGCGCCGCAGGTGAAAATTTTTTAAAATCTGAGGGTTGTAGGCGAAAACTTTTTCGACCATTCTTCTACTAATTTTTTCCCCCTTTCCCCTATTTCGGCGGGGGGGGGGGGGGGGGGGGGGGGGGGCAGTGATTTGGAGGTATATCAAGTGATTTCATCTTTTTTTTACCGCTGGAGTCGAAAAGTTTAAGACTTTTTCGGGGGGGGGGGGGGGGCTCTAGCACGATATCACCGATATATATAACGCACGATATCCCCTATATCCCTTCAAATCTCCTCATTTCTTCTAAATCCCATTACAATATATCACCTTAATCATCTGATATACGATCCTGAACCCCTTAATCATCTGATCTCCTTTAATAAAACCAAATCTAGCAATATCTCACCCCAATACTCTGGTAAATTAAATCACCTTAATCCTTCAAATCCACTGATATCCATTTCAATTCTCTTCAGCCCTTCCTTTACCCTCCTGATCCATCGATATACCTTTTAATTCACAGATATCCGTCCAAATCCACTAATTATTTTAAAATAAATCTTTTAAAAAAAGACTCGAAAATGTCTCGGTGCCCGACTCGATAAAGTCAGGCCCGAAAGTGACTCGTTCCGGCCCGACTCGATAAATTTAGGCCCGAAAAAGACTCGTAACGGCCCGACTCGATAAAGTTAGGCCCGAAAAAGACTCGTACCGGCCCGACTCGATAAAAACAAGCCCGAAAAAAAATGCCTCGACCGTCGGCCCGACTCGAAAACGGCAACCCTATTTATAACAATAAGTAACTACTAGAGATCGAGATTTTTGAAAAGCATGGGCCTGTTCCTGGGTTCCGGGTTTGATCTATTGACCTGGGCCTGTAGTCCAGGAAAAACCCAGGCCCAGGAAAAACCCAGAAATTTTTTTACCTGGGCCCAGGCCTGGATTCCTGGGTTTTTTAGATTTTTGATAAATCATCAAATTTCAATTAAATTGCAATAATATACAGTGGGAATAAGGGGTGTATCAAGGGATTTAAGGTGATTTTAAAGGATTAAGGTGGATAGGTGTGAAATAAGGTGGATATCATGTGATTTAAAAGGATTAAGACGGATATTGATGATTTGGGTTTTAGTGTAATATCAATGGATTTTGGGGTATTAAGTAGGAGTAAGTGGGATATCGGAAGATCTTTGCTGGCATATCGGGGATATTAGAGCATCTAAAGGCTACGAAATCTATCTTAATCCACTTAAACACACCGAAATCCCCCTATATCCTTCTTAATCCCATACCGTCCTTCTATATACACATATATATCCCGATATCCCTCTTGATGCTCACAAATCCTCTGATATCCATCCCATATATCTCACAATATCCGTCTTAATCCCCAAAATCCCTTGATATTACTCAAAATCCCCCAAATCCACCATATGCCTCACTCCCTCTAAATCTCTCGATATCCCTCTAATTCTACCGATAACCTCCTAACATAGATGGGTCTCAAGAAATAAAAAAAGTTTACTTGGACGGATATCAGGAGATTCAGTGGGATATTATTCCATTTTCAGCGCCGCTGGCGAAAATTTTGAGAATGTTGGAAAGCCAAAAAAAGCCAGAATTCTTCCATTTCCAGTGCCGCAGGCAAAAATTTTAGAATTTTCTTAAGGCTCAAGTGGCAATTTTGCTAGAAAAAAGAAATCTTTGGGAGAAAATTAACCCAGGAAACCCAGACATAAAAATTGCCTGGGCATGTTCCTGGGCTCTGGGTTTGATTTAATGACCTGGGCCGGGTCCTGGGCATGTACTCCAGGAAAAACCCAGGCCCAGGAAAACCCCAGGAAGGTCAAATAATGCCTGGGTCTGGACTCTGGGTACAGGAAAAACCCAGGCCTTGGTCAGGCCCAGCTCGATCTCTAGTAACTACTACCAATTAACATGAAATAGTCTACTGTGCAGTTGCCCTCTGTGAAATTGTCTTACTATGCGATTGTTCACTGTGCTCGTGTCGGAGCACCCTCTCATACTCATACTTGTTAAATACCACAAATACCATTTATTAAACATTTTGCCATAAAATGGATAGGTTTTTACCTGGATTGGATCCTGCTCCTTGTCCTTGGTTATGTTGGCCTTAATTAATATAAAAATAAATTTTATATATGTATTAGCTGTTTAAGCAGTCGAATCTCTTGAAAAAGATAGCGAAGGATTGGCTGATATATGCAAATTAGGGTAAATATAAAAATGATTTAAAGTAAAATAAAAATTTATTTAGATCAATTATTAGGTTACTTGATCTGTGATGATTGTGATGGGCGTCACGTATCGACTTCTCTTGTGCTTGTAACGACACTGAAATAAATTTTTAGAAAAAATTTATCAAAATATATTATTACTAGCTTGGTATTCTTCTTCATTTTGAGCAAATAAATTATCTGGAATTTTATTAAATTTTATGACAATTACTATTAAAAAGCATAATGCTCATTTTATCAAATAAATTATTTATTTTGATGAAAAAAAAATTTATCACTGTTGCATACTCCTTGTTTATTTTTATTTTAGAATAAATAAAGATTTTAATATTTTTACGGGAATTAAAAGTACTTATAATAATTGTGCTACCTGAGTTGATTTGTTGCTGTTGAGGTGAATATAAAGATAAATTACGGTTGTAATTTAAATGCAAATTTTGAATATACTCTCGATCATAAGCCATTCTTCTATTAAATGAGAGCATTCTTCTCCTATTATAATTATATGCCGACTCGTTTGTTCTATTTTGAGAACGGTTGTAACGATTATTTCTAGAACGGCTGAGGGAAGCATTAGATGATTCTGCATGATTTGAACCAAATTCATGATGATGTTGTTGAGGATTGTATGCATGAAATGGTTCATATCCATCATGACCTAAGTGAATTCTTCTACTTCCAGATTCCTCATCGGTGTCACTAGTTTCTGTGTCGGAATCTCGATAACGATCGTGACGATCATTTCGTGAACGGTTGTAGTGGTGTCTCCGACGGTTGTGGGAAGCATTAGATGTTTCTGCCTGATTTGATCCAAAATCATGATAATGTTCGTAAGGTTCACGATTTAGATCGAAACGATAAGTGTGGGCACCACGATCATGTGCATCCATTTCATCCTCATCGCTTAAAATAGAATCAACAACAAATGGTGTTAAAAATAGAAAAGGTAATAAAAATAATGAAGGCTTCATTACTTTCTGGAATTATTTTATATTTATATATTTATATTTTTTTTAAATTTCACTTTCTTTTTAAAATAATAAAGTATTTAATTTAAAAATATATAAAAATAAAGGATAACATTTTTTTAATTTTTTAAATTAAAATTTAATTGGGGAAAATGAAAGAATATAAAATTGTGAGTGAAGGGCCGGCAGTCAGGCTCTCTCTGTGGGGCGGGAGATGGATAATCAAAAATGGGCGGGAGATGCATTTATAAAATTAATTTTCTAAAAGGGTAAAATTAAATTATAATATCGAGACTTTCAATGCATTTAAAGTCTCAAAAACTTATTTTCATTTTTTAATTAAAATTGGCTATAGGATAGTCTTAAATAAGGAAGCAGATTACAACTAATAGACTCTAAAACCAACAAAACTTGAGTTGTTTAACTATTTGAAATAAGAAAAATTAATTTTATTTTTTTATATTTTCAGACTTTTATAAAAATTCTCGATTTTGGGTTAATTTTAGTCCCGATTTTACGATAAAGGAATCGAAGAATTTTGTATATATTTGTAAGTTTCACGAAGGATTCAAAGATCTTGTGAGCCGAGTTGTGAGTGTGAGTGAGTCTAATCGATTCTTTTTTATTGATTAAGCGTAAATAATTTTTAAATTTAATTAAATAAATGAAAATTTGGATAAAATTTTTTTACAGAATCCCGTGTTTCTAAATAAGGCGCGGATTTGTAGGCAAGTAAAAGCAGTGAAATAGCCGCCTAAAATACATAGGCGCCAAAAAAATGAAAAAGGATTATAATAGAAAATTTGCGGTTTTAAAACCGGTCAGATCCAGCCCTATCTGAAAAGCACAAAAAATTTATAAAATTATAAAACTAAAAAACGCGGAAAATTATTAAAAATCTGAACATTATACATACTTGCATAATATTGAATGTTGTTACTTATAGTGGGCGCTGGTCTAGTTTATGCGTCCAATGAACTTTTATGAGTCCAATGAAAAGTTTATGAGTCCAATCAACACAAAATTGGATTTTTCATAGTATTGCAAAGTTGGGGTATGGTTCCAAAGCATTTCTTCATGTTCGGGACCTACGCCCACATGGTTTGGGACCATTCCTTGCCCTATACCTCGAAATTTCGGAAAGTTATAGCCAATTTTTAAAAATTTCGGAAAAACAATTATCTTTCCGAAATTTCGAGGTATAGGGCAAGGAATGGTCCCAAACCATGTGGGCTTAGGTCCCGAACATGAAGAAATGCTTTGGAACCATACGCAGCCGCAATTGTCGACTGCCGTTAAACAATAGGGCCAAAAATGCTACTATGAATCGTCTAACTTTGAAACGTCCCGTTATTTTCCTATTGATTTTTTCAAAATAAATGATTGGCATTGTGACAATTTATATTTCCTAAATTGGGCAACTCCTTTGAAGTAACTAAATATTTAGGGACAGAGATGCTTTAATTTTCTAAAATGAGGTTTTATATGATCAAGTCTTTAACACAAAATGAAGTCTTTAATTTGATTCGAAAAGTTTTTTGACTAATTGTAACCTAGAATAAGCAAAATTGGGAATGCCCTGTGTTTTGCTTGTGAAATTAAATCAGTCAATATACATAATTTGTTCTTTCTTCATCAAGTCCGCTCCTCTTTTTTTCAACGTTAAAAGATATCTATGATTTTTCAGAGATCCCAAATTTAGTTGAAATGAGAGTGTGATGCTTCTCTTAATTCTCATACCAAAATTAATCTACCAACTTGAATTGATTTAGCTTCAGTTGTGGAGCAAACGGGAATAAGGAGGCATTGATAGAATGACCGATAAAGTTTAAAATTCTCATTTCGATTTTCCCTAGTATGAGAGGAGAATGGCATTCACGGGAACCCGTAACGGGATTTCTTTGAAAAGATTGGATGTGGCAGGATCCCGCAGGATTAACCCAGTAAATCCCTTAGTCGTTTAATACATAGACAGGATTTCATGACAGGATCCCTAAACCCCCCTTCCGGGCCCTGTCCCGACAGTCATTTAACTTCCTATGCAATAAAATTGGGCACGCCCAAAACGGCGCGCGCCATAATGGCGCAAAGCCATAACTTGCTTCAATATTTCCTAATCTCATCAAAATTTAGTATCAATCGAGTCCTCTCATCGAGCTAAAGAGATTAGTACCAAAATTGATAAGGTCTAGAAATATTCCAGCAAGTTATGGCTCTGCGCCGTTATGGCCCCGCGCCGAGCTGTACCCCCAAATAAATTAGTTTCCTTAAAATTGAAGTTAGGTCGTCTGTCGAAATTTTTTTCTTTTCTCAACTAAAAATCTTTAAAATTTTCTCTTTATTTTCAGAAAATTTTTATTTTATCTATTTTATTGTCATTCCCACAATATGGAAGTTGAAGTTAAACAAACTGACGGTTTCTACCTCAAAGCATTGGTAAATGACATCTCTGACGACAGTTTCGATGTTATTTATGACAATGGATGGCGAAAACCAGAATGGGTCAAGTTTGAACAATGTCGGGTAGAAGTGGACGCGTCTTCAGATAAAGCAAAGAACCAGCAACCGGTGAAAGTTGGGGATGTTGTTGATGCTTATGTTCGTTATGAGGGGGACAAGCGGGCTTGGCATTCAATGAAGATTCGCGATATTAAGGTTTTTTTGAAGTTTTTTGGGGTCTAACTTTTGTAATTTTTTAGAATTGTTTTGCTGTTGTTGAAGGAAATGAGGGCCAAAATGTAATCAATGACATTGTTCCCATCACTGATTGCCGACATCCAAACCTTTCGATGGTCGTCACGAATTCTTCAATCCAAAGTTGTGTAATTCCTGCTGGCGATTTGTTTGAATATTTTGAGCAGAGTGATGAGCGTTATAAGGTTTTCATTTTTTATTTATTAAGTGGGGAAGGATTGGGGAATTGTTGAAATCTCTGAGATGTTGAGGGGACGTGGGTCTTATAGGGGTTGAGTTTGATGTTTTAATTAATTTTATGGGAATGGCTTGATGGGCTAACAATAAGTGGTGTTTTTGGTGTGTAAATGGTCTTCCCCCACCCCTTTATAATTCAATGATTTGTGCACTACTTCCAAAGCTTCCTTTGATTTTTATTCTTAGGGAAGGATTGGGCGACGTCTTTTTTGAGATGTTGAGCAAACTTGGGTCTCATTAAGTCCTGCTTGATAGGCTGAATATTAGAGATCGGAATTTTTGAAAGACACGGGTCTGTTCCTGGATTCCGGGTTTGTTTTATTGACTTGGGGCGGACTCCGGGCCTGTAATTCAGGAATAACCCAGGAAGGTCAAAAATACCTAGGCCTGGATCTGTGTTCAGGAAACCTAGGCTTTTGTCCAGACCCAGGCCGATCTCTACTGAATATGTTTGTTGTTTCGGGTGTTTAGAAGGATCCCCTTCCCCTCCATAGTTCATTGATATGTAGCTACGTCAAGGCTTCTTTTAATTTCCTCTCTAATTCTATCAAGCTTTAACTCTTCACCTTTCCTATTTAGGTTCTTCGTGAGTCAATCACCGGCATTCTTATCAAACTTGATAAAGAGAAAAAGGAATTGGTTATTAAGGTTTTTCTTCTTTTTATTGAATAACTTTATATTTTCTCAAATTTAGGCTCTGTCTCCAACAATTATCAAAAAAGTCGACATCTTGAAGGATGTGTTTTTGACGAATAGTCGACAGAAGATGACTTTGATTCAGCGGCAAGAGGTTTTTATAAATGTTTTTTGAGTTTACCATTCCAACGGGTTACCTTTTACTCCTTCCTTGGGATATAGACCTTCAAGCTAGGGCAGCACCCCGAGCCAGTGGAGGCTGCAGTGTCGGGTTTTGGCGAGGTAGAGCCTTTGGGTAAAGGTTTTTGCCTATAAATTCGTCGGGGGAGGGTGCTATTCTACTTTAAAAATTCCGTTGGACTGTTGCCAAGCTAAGGGGTTTTCGTGACTTTAGGTTTATGAGTCAAACATTCATTCGTCCTGGCTTAATAATGCCTACATTACTTGAGCTTTCACATTTTTCTTTTTATAGGAACAGAAGAAAATGTTGTCCATTCACGAGCCAAACATTGCGGCGCCTCTTCTAGTTGAGTTTGATGTTTCAATTAATTTTATGGGAATGGCTATTGGCTCTCAAGGCGCTAATATTACTTCAGCGCGCAGTCTTGATGGAATTAAGGTTTTCTACTTCTAAGCAACCTCTCTAAACTTTTCAACTTTTAAGGACATTATTCTTGACGAATCTACTCGCAATCAAGGATTTTGCAAGTTTAAGGTTTCGTTTATTTTATTGAACTATTTTGACATTTTTCCCTTTAGATTTATGCCAATAATGCTGAAGCTGCTGAGCGTGCTCGCAATATGTTGGAAATCTCACAACAGCAAAAATTGGTTCCTCAAGGACGTGTTGGACAAGTTATTGGGAAGCAAGGAAAGACTATTCAGGTTATCTGTTGATTTTGGTATCTGATTTGTTAGGAGATGTAGATGGCTAGGATTCGATTTTAAGGGTGATATTTCTGTTCTCTATGTTCCGGGTCTCTTCAACAAAGGAGCATGAAGATTCCGTTGTTTCCATTGTTAAGGAAAGACTGTTTTTTGGTTCTTAAGATTGTCTGGGCCTACTTTTCTGGCTTCCGTATTGATTAGCATTCCCCTACTTTTCTAGCATTTTGTTATACTTCCTCCCTATTCACTGCTCCTTTCCATCTAAACATTTTTCTTTTTTAGGACATTGTTGACAAAAGTGGTGTGCTTCGTGTTCAAATTGGTGATGAAAATCCAGAGGTATTCCTGCTCAAGTTTAATTTTTTAGCCTTCCTTTACCTCTATCTTTTAATTTTTTTATTACAAAAATTTTGTAAATTCATTAGCAGGGGATGGTTCCGCTCACATTTACTGGCACTCGTGAAGCTTTGATGTATGCTGAACTTATGGTTGATTTTCAACTTAAACATATTTCTGAAATGGATGCTATTAGACTGTAAGGGGGGTTTTTATTGATAGTTTAAAAATGAAAAAATTTTCTAGCGAGGAAGAAGAAATTCGTCGTAAGCTTTACATGTCTCGAAGCTCGCCATATAATGCTCATTACGGAAACAATTCGAATCAGTCTGTTCAACCTTATCATCGCAATCGACCTGACGGTGGAAATGCTCGTGCTGTTAATGGTAAAAGTTTTGGGATTTTTTATTTTAAAATTATTTTTTTCTTCAAGGTGGTGATGGTGGCGATCGTCGTTCGATGGGCGTAAGTGGATATCGTGGAACTGGAGGTGGTGGTGCTGGACAGGGAGGACAGCGTTTTCCGATTAGAGATGGCGGTGCTGGTCAACGCGGTTCAGGTGTTACCACCGGTCGTTTTCAATCCAATCAAAATTCTGGAAATACTTTTGGGGCTCGTCCTCAAGGTTTTTTCTTTTAAATTTATTTTTATAATTTCTTGCCGCGATAAATTTCCGCTAAATTAGGAGGTAATCGCTATTTGGGACGTTCTGCCGGCGGTAGGGGAGGAGGCACTGGAACTGGTCGACCTGGACAGGGACAGCGTTTTCCTGCTAGAGATGCTCAGCGTTCCGTTGATGCTGAAGAGAAAAGCCCTCCACTTGAACAGAAACAGCTTCCTGCTCAAAACCGTCAGGACAGTGATGGTTATATTTTTTGTTAAATTTTTTTATTAATTTTTGAACAAATTTAGATAGCAAAAGTGTTGAGGATAGTTCTTATAATGGCGCTCTCAGCAGCACTGAACATTCTGACAAGACTTCCAAGCAAAATTCTGAAAATATTCCGCATAAGGGTGGCTATGGTGGAGGAAGTTCGAGAAGCACTGGTGGAAATGCTCCAGCGCGTAATCGTCGAGAAAACGTTTGTTTCAAAATTTTTTTTCGTTTAAAAAATTCTTGGCTCTTGTTCAGTTTTAGCGTCCAATCGCACCTTTATACGTCCATTCAACTTTTTGCGTCCAATTACATTTTTTAATTACTCGATTCTACACTACATTACCGTAAAATCTATGGAAATGGAAAGCTCTACTTACTCAGAGTTATAATACACACGCATATTACAGAACGTAGGTTTTAACACATATGTAGAACCGGGTACTTATAAAATTTGAGTGGACACAAAAGTTGATTGGACGCATAAAAATTCGTTTGGACGTATAAACTTTTCATTGGACGTATAAAGGTTGTACGGACGTATAAAGGTGCGATTGGACGCTTTAACTGGACAAGAGCCAAATTTTTTTAAAAAATTATAGGCGGATGAGGATTAAGCTTTGAGATGACCAAGACACAAAAAATGAGAGAGTGACAGAGAAGTTATTTGGCAAAATTTTGTTTTTTCTTTTAATTATTTGTTCTGACGGCACAGTAAAAAAAATACACGAGACAACGCATACAAAAAACCTAGTAAAAAAATTCAAGTATTCGACTAAATTAAAAAATTGTCCTTTTTCTCTATTCTATCCCATCTTTTTTTTTGATTATTGGAATGGCTAAAAACAACATAAAAACATCACCGCTAAATTTTGGATTTTTTTAAAGAAAAATTTGAGAAAATTGAGGACAATTAATTCCTTTTATTCCTTTTTTTGGATGACACATGACAACAAAAATTAAGTTTTATTTGAAAAGCTCTTTTCCGCACCTTGTCCCACACACATTCTTTTAAAAATTAGGGTTGGGGTTTTCGAGCCGACGTTCGAGTCGAGTTTTTCGGGCCGGCCAAACCAAATCTTTTCGGGCCAAAATTCGAGTCCGACTCGATCATTCGGATCGGGCCCCCAACCCTATTTTTAATGTTTTTTTTTCATTTTGTTTTATGTTTTTGCGTAAATTATTCATCCCAAAAAAATTTTTTGGGTACTTGGCGGTTATACGCCCACAAACTGAGTGGGCCAGCCAAATTTGATTGCTCTATCTTATTTGTTAGGACAGTCGTCCCATGAACTTTTATTTGTCCTATCAACAAGAAATTGGAGTTTTCTTGGTGTTGTAGAGTAGGGGGTGTGGTTCCAAAAAATTTTTTCATGTTCGGGATCTGTCCACTGGGTCTGGGACCGTTCCTTGCCCTATCCCTCGAAATTTCTGAAAGTTAATATCGTTTTTTTGAAATTTTTAAAAATTGGCTATAACTTTCAGAAATTTCGAGGGATTGGGTAAGGAATGGTCCCAGACCCAGTGGGCGTAGGCTTTCGAATGATATAAAATTTATTTGAATGGAATTAAGCATCAAAAAGTTAAAGCTGATCAAATTTGGCTGGCACTCAGTTTGTCGGCGTATAACCGATAAGTACCATTTTTTGTTTGTTTTGTTAATTGTTTGATTTCAATGAATATCTTTTTAATTTTCTAATTTTTTAAACTTTATTTTTAAAAGTTTTATGAGGATTTGGCACAGACGCAGTCTTAAAGCAGATTTGAATGAAAGTTTGGATATGAGAAGAGGAACGGGTATGGAAGAGGAGGAAGAAGATGACGAGGATTTTGATGAGAATGATGAGGAAGTGACTTTGAGAGGACGCTATTTTCCTAATCTTTTGAGATCGGAGGATGATGAAGAAAACGAAAGGATGAGGAATCGACGGGCAAATAAGATGGTTAATAATAGCTGGCCTCCAATGGCAAGGTTTTAAAAAAATTTTTTTTTATTTTTTTGGGGTTTGATGTGGGTTGCCTTTAAGGAATTTTTCCCATACACAAATCTGTTTAGTGTAAGGGGTATAGGAAATATTAGGAAATCAATTTTTGGCTTACTGACAAGGGAACATCGTTTACTGTCAGTGTGAATTTGATATATTTTTTGGTACCATTCGATAGAGGACCCTCGACTTAGTATCGTGGCGTTATCCTTTTTATTGCAAAATTAGTTTGGGCCGAGTTATGGCCGTTCAAAGTTTCAGTCCTTGGGTGTAGTTGAGTAATGCTTTTTCGCTAATTTTCAAGGTTGCCAATAGACAACCTCCAATTTTTCTAGGGTTTATTAAACCACAAATTTACCATTAAATTTAAAGTGTTTTGAAATAATAAAATATTCCTTTCTTAATTCCTCATTTTAGCAATACTTTTGAACAGTATGAGGTTGAGGAGGAATCTGATGAAGAAGACGATGAAGATTTTAACAATTTTCAATCACATCGACAATCGCGAGTAATTGGATGGCGTATACCAAATAAACAGGAAAGGACGCAGAGTCGATCAACGAGTTCTCCACGAAGGCGTAGACGAAGTGTTGGTACCTATGGACGGACGGAATTCGATTCGGAACAGAATGGATTTTTTACAGGTTTATTTACTTGGACCGTAGTCAGGAAAAATTTTCAGGCGAATTTTGATAATTGTGTAAGGCCATAGGTCAAAAAACTTCACATTCTTCCCCATTCCTCCCCAGATTTTTTCCTTTCCCAATTTCGTGGAGGAAGGGGGGGGGGGAATCCCTTCTTTTGGCTTGCCTCCCCAAATTTTTTCTTTTCCTCATTTCGCCATTTCGGGCGTAAGGAGAGGGTGTGTGTGGAATCCATCCCCTGGATACGGGTCTGATTCTTGGTATTAAATCTTTTAGTTTGGTTTAGAGTAGAATGAGCAAGGGAATAGCCAGGGTCTCTAAAGTTCTAATTTGGACTTATTATTAGTAATTCAAAGAAAAACTAAAAAATATTTTTTCAGCCTTCAACCTCCTCATGTTTGTCTGCCTTATTTTATTATTGATTTTCTTATTCTATCACGTTTTACCAAATTATTTTTCTTATGGTCGTTTGAATCCAAAACAAAGATATACAAATTTTCGCAAGGATTTGTCTGAATATTTTAGAGAAGAATTTGATGAGGTTTTTTTTAAATTTTTTACTAAAAATTTATTTTAAAAGAAAATTTCAGGGTTCAAACACCAAAACTTTCAAAATTCTTTCTTATATTGCTGCAAAAATTTCTGAACGAGATGAACTTCAATTAAGTTGTAATGATAGAAGATTGAGTCCTCTGACTTTGTTGATAGCTGATTCTTTTTCTAATGACAAGGCAAATTTTTTGGCTGGAAATTTTTCTGATATTTTGCAAAGACATTGGCCATACAGGTTGTTTAATTGACAAATTTTTGTTAAGGATTTGATTTCTTTTGTGGGGTTGGGGGTTGAGTAATTATACTAGAAGTGACTTTCTTTTAGATTTGAATTAGGTCTGGGCTTCAACTCCTTGAGGGCGCGTTTGTCGACTATGAGTTGGACTATGACTTAAAGAAAGCACTTGTCTGTTATACTTCAGCACACCCCAACAAACGTGCTCTTTAGGAGTTGGGCCCCAACCCTAGTTTGAATCATTTTTGAGTTCAGTTCTTTTTCTTAAGATGGAGGGTTAACGTTTTTTCCGTGTATTCCACCTCAAAAAATTCCTTTTATTAAAACGTATTTCTCATTTTCTTCCAAAAAATTCAATTTGGTTTTTAACTTCAAAAAATAATTATTTTTCTTAAATCTTTTAGAATTTTGAAGCATCATCTCAATTCAAACATAACAAGAATTCAACTTGATCGAGGTATACTTTCTCCTGTTATTGACGAAAAACAGTCTACAACATTTGCACTTTCTTTGGAAGGATTGGAAAAATTAAGTGATAAAGCGCCTCTCTTTCTTCATTCACTTGCTGACCCAGAAAGTTCTCCTCTGCTTTTTACTCAACATAATGTGCTTATTATTGGAACTCTTAAATTATTGGAAAATGAAGAGATGGAGTTTGGAAATGCTCAAACAAGTTGTGACGAACGGATAGAAAAGTATGGGGATTTTTTTGTTAGGGTCGAGGGGATGTTCTTGCCTAAATTAGAATATTAACTTTCTATGAGGAGAACATTCTTATTTTCTCAAATTCTGACACTTTGAAAGAATTTTCTGGGTTAATAAAGAAGATTAAGAAATTAGACATGCTGATATAGCTGGAACTCTACTGGTTACACAACTTACACCCACTGTGGCTTTAATAGTTAACCGCTATTAAAGACATGGTGGGATATTAAAGCCACCGGTTAACCGCCCGGTTAATTTTTCCCTGTGGAGGGGCAAAAAAAGAAGAGAGAAAGGAAGAGGTAAATAAACCCACAGGGAAGAATTAACCGGACTAATTGTAAGTACATTGCAAAGGCGTAGCTAGGTGGCCGATTTCGGGGTGGTGGTGGGGAGGGGGGCTAACATTGGCCCCGATAGTTTTTATGTTTTTCTGAACCAACATAACACTCAAAAACTTATTTTCATCACATCAATCCCGCTATGTCTGCCCACCAAAAATTTTAGTCTTTTTTCCTTTTTTTAAATTTTTTTCGGCTTTGCGTGTGTGGAATAAGACTCATTTCAGACAATCTAAATATAATTTTTATTATTCAAATTTAGGTCATTAATGTATTCATGGAAATCTGATGCTCTTTCTGAGGACCAAATTCATCCAATTATTGCTCGGATAAGTGCTCATTCTGTCTGCCTTGACTAAAAGCGTTTTTTAAAATTTTTTTTTATAATTTATTTTTGAGTCTCAATTGAATGTCTCAAATAAAAAAATATTTTGTAGGAAATTTTTTTTATTTTTTTAATCAAAACGTTTTGATACGTTTAAATTTTTAAATTTGTTATTTAATTATTTTAATTTGTTTTTAGACTTTTAGAAACTTTTGAGGCTTAAAAAACTTAAAATAATGGGACGCATCAAGACACGTGATCTTCGCGGTAAAAAGGAGGAATTGTTGAAACTTTTGGAGGAACAGAAAACTGAGCTTGCCAGTCTTCAGGTTTATTGTTTTTTGGGGAGAGAATTTTGAGTAAAATGTTTTGGGGGTTGGACATTCTAGGGAAATTTCTGTTTTTTAAGACGTACAACGGTCTATTGTATTTTATGCGATTCTATAGAGGCCCACGACTTTTTATTTCAATTGTTTGCAGTAGGCCATGTTGTTATAGGGTCCAGTACCTTAAATTCGATCTTAAGTGACCTTAGATA